AGGAGGAACAAGGGCAGCTTTTGGAATTTAAGATCAGCTAATCATTCTGCAATAGTAAAATAAAAACTGGTCTTAGTAATGGTGATCATGAAACTATCATCAGTTGTTAGAAAAATCCATTTAGTTCACTGATGTCCTTTTATTTTATTCACTTGTGGAATATGGGCATCGCTGGCTGGCCAGCATTTATTGCCCATCCTTAGCTGCCCCTTGAGAAGGTGGTGGTGAGCTGCCTTCTTGAACCACTGCAGTCCACCTGCTGCGGGTTAACCCACAATACCATTAGGGAGGGAATTCAAGGATTTTGACCCAGCGACAGTGAAGGAACGATGATATATTTCCGAGTCAGGACAATGAGTGGTTTGGAGAGGAACTTGCAGGTGGTGGTGTTCCCATATATCTGCTGCCCTTGTCCTTCGAGATGGAAGTGGTCAAGTGTTTCGGAGGTGCAGTCTAAGGATCTTTGGCAAATTTCTACACTGCATCTTGTAGATAGTAGCAGTGATGTGTACTGAGTGTCAGTGGTGGAGAGTGTGGAGGTTTGTGGCCAAGCAGGCAAGCTGCTTTGTCCTTTAGGACAGGAAATCTGCCCTCCTTACCTGGTCTGGCCTACAGACTCAACAACAACGTGGTTGTCTCTTAACTGCTTTCTGAAATGGCCCAGCAGTTCAAGGGCAATTATGAATGGACAACAAACATTGGCCTTGCCAATGATGCTCGTGTCCCTTGTAAGGATAATGTGAAAGTGACCCTTAATATCCTGTATAAAGTCGTTCTTCAATGAACATCACAGAAACAGATTATTTGGGCCGTTATCACATTGCTGAGTGTGGGAGCTTGCTGTGTTCAAATTGGCTGTGCACACTACAATAGGGATAACACTTCAGGTGCATTTCTTTGACTGTCAGTTGATTTTGGAATGTGCTGAGTTTGGAAAGGGGCTATGTAAATGCAAGTCTTTAAGTTTTCTTTACTTGGTGGTGGTTTGAGATTTTCAGGAAGGCCTAAAACAATTCCCGCCCTCAAGCAGGTTGACTGCTAAGCCGTGCAGTGCTGCTCTGAATTGGTCTAAATGGCGTTGTGATGACATCATTGTAGCCAGCTTAATCTTGTTATTTATTTAATGGGAGAGTGGGGTGAGGGGCAGCAGGAACTCCCTTATTGGCTATCCTTTCGGGCAGGAGTCTCTGTAAAGTTGTACGCAATCCCAGAACATGATCACATGCTGCATGTAGTACCTTTACATTTGTAAATTTCCTGTGATCGCAGCACCTAGACCTTAGATGTGCCATTACCCTGCTGTGCCCAGGATCATGATCGGGGGGGACACGAGGGAATCAATAAGGTGCGTTGCTGGCTGTAAGCTACAGCGGCAGATTTGGGAGCAAGGGCGTGCTCTTGAATGTCAGTCGGAACTCTGCAGGATGACTTGTGGAGGTCACAGAGGAAGGTCTGCTTGGAGCCTTGGGCTGGGACACAACGGGGCTCAGGCTTGTATCAAGGTAGACAAACAGGAGGCTGGAAGAACACAGCAGGCCAGGCAGCATCTGAAAAAGGGTAATATCCGAAACATTGACTGTTCCTTTCCTCCTGGCCTGCTGTGTTCTTCCAGCCTCCTGTTTGTCTATCCTGGATTCCAGCATCTGCTGTTTTTTAATGTCCCTAACCAGGCTTGTATCAAGCTTGGAGCTGCTTCCAAAACTCTGCGAATCGCTTGGTCGGTGGGCTGGTATCCCACAGTGTTTGGAGATGCTGTAAGGACTGCCACATAGACTGTCACCATACTTGCCGCTTTATTGGAAGTTGCATTGCATTCCAGGCGCTACAAAAATGCAACATGTTATCTTTGAGTCACAACGGGTGATGGTATTAGAGTTGATAGTTGGGGCTCCCTTTAAGCCACGTATCCATCCGTGTTTATGAGAGCATGCAGGATTTCAGAATAGCAGGTACTTTGCAGCAGTAATATCCGTTGCTGAGTTGCGGAACCTCTTGTCATTTATCTGCGTTAAGTGGCTCATTAACTGTGTGAGAAGCGTTAAAGGATCATTAGTGCAGGAGGATTACAATTTGTTGTGTGTATTTCTTTTCTCGTGTCCACAGATGAAATTGCATTCACTGGAAGTATATGTTTAACAGCAAGCCATCCTGTGAGTGGGCTGTAACAATGATGAGCAGAGAAGATTTTAAACCCTTTATCAATGAAACTGGTTGGAGGAGCTGCTGAGTTCAAACCTGGTTGCTTGGGTGGGCTTGGGTGCAGATTGGAGGGAGTTAAAAGGACAAACATTCCAAATACATTGACATTGTGGCTCCAACTCACAGATCTCTGAGTCTTACCGAGGTTGGACAAGAGGGAGGCAGACTAACCCACCCTGTGACCTGGCACTTTAAGTGTGCCAATGAGGTAGGGAGAGAAGGTGATGGTATGTCATAGGAGTTAGTGACCCAGTGTCCCAGGCTAACTCTCAGGGGCCACAGGTTCAAACCCTGCTGACATCACTGGTAGAATTCGAACTAAAGCTGAATGTAAAACTGGCCTCAGTGATGGTGACCATGGCAACTATCATCAACTGTTGCTAAAATAAAACCTGGTTTACTAATTTAAGAAGTGGATTCACCAACGGGTGGCACGGTGGCTCAGCGGTTAGCACTGCTGCCTCACAGCGCCAGGGACCAGGGTTTGATTCCACCCTCGGGCGACTGTCTGTGTGGAGTTTGCACATTCTCCCTGTGTCTGCGTGGGTTTCCTCCAGGTGCTCCGGTTTCCTCCCACAGCCCAAAGATGTGTAGGGTAGGTGGATTCGCCATGAGAAATGCAGGGTTACAAGATAGGGTGAGAATGTGGGCCTGGGTGGGATGCTCTTTGGATAGTCATTGTGGACATGATGGGCCAAGTGGCCTGCTTCCACACTGTAGGGATTCTATGGTCTACCTTCTGCCAGTCTGACCCACACTGAGTCTCAACTGGCCTTTGAATTGACCAAGCAAGCTATTCAAATCATGGCAATTAGGGATAGAAAATAAATACTGGTCTTGCCAGCAACACCCAATTAAGAATAAGGGGAAAAAATTGGATTGAATTAGTTTAGCTGCAAGTTTAACTATCACCAGGCGAGTTTCCCCAGACCTCAGGAAACCCTGCAGTGAAGACAGGTTTTGCATACTCTCAGTGGTCGGGGAGAGCCAAGTGGCGTTGCAGCATTTCTTTGGGGCCAAGACAAACAGGAGTTCTTGCTCACTGTTTCTGCAGCAAACGCCATCCTCATCAGTGAGTGGATGAGTAACATTTCCCCTCGTGTCTCTCGTACGGTTTGAGCTGATTGATTTTGCTGATTTGAGTATTTGTGAAGACAAAGTTCTTTTTTTTAAATCTGAAGTACAAGCAGAAACTGTCACTCTGTGATTCTTCTACTTGGCTTTTTCTTCACATGTCTGTGTTTTGTAAGCTTGCAGCCAGCCAAGAATCAATAATGGTAAAAAGGGTGTAGCCTACAGGCAGTCCGTGCAATCAGATACCATTTTCAATATCCCTTAAATGACTGAAAAACTCACATTCATTTAAAGTTTTCGAGGGCGTTTGTAGCTCGGGTTATGGATGAGGTTGTAGACTTGCTCGCCAAGCCATTGGGTTTGGTTGCAAACGTTTCGACACCCTGCTAGGTAACATCGTCAGTGCGCCTCCGGTGAAGTGTTGGTGTTCTGTCCTGCTTATTATTTATATGCCTCGGTTTGCTGGGGTGATTGGCATCACTTCCGGTTCTGTTTCTCAGTGGTTTGTACACAGGGTCTAATTCAATGTGTTTGTTGATGGAGTTCCGGTTGGAATACCAGGCCTCCAGGAAATCCCTGGCAAGTCTCTGTTTGGCTTGTGCGATTATCGCTGTGTTCTCCAAGTCGAATTTGTGCCCCTCTTTGTCCGTGTGTAGTGAGACAAGTGAGAATTGGCCGAGTCTCTCAGTGACTAGTTGGAGTTCATGTATCAATATTGTCAATTTTCTTCTGGTTTGACCCATATAGTGTTTCTCACAGTTGTTGCGTGGTATTTTGTATATACCCCAGTTCTGCCATACCCAAAACTGGTATGTATATTACCCCAGTTTTGCTGGTTTCAGGTATGGCAAAACTGGGGTAATATACAAAATATCACGCGAGGACTGTGAGAAACACTATATGGGCCAAACCAGAAGAAAATTGACAGTATGGATAGATGAACACCAACTAGCCACCGAAAGACACGACCAATTCTCATTTGTCTCACTACACACGGACAACGAGGGGCACAAATTCGACTGGGAGAACACATCCATAATCACACAAACCAAACAGAGACATGCCAGGGAATTCCTGGAGGCCTGGTATTCCAACCGGAACTCTATCAACAAACACCTTGAACTGGACCCAATATGCAAACCACTGAAAAACAGAACTGGAAGTGATACCAACCGCACCAGTAAACTGAAGCATATAAATAACAAGGAGGACAGAACACTGATGTTTTACCGGAGGCGCAAGGATGATGTTACCTAGCAGGGTCACGAAATGTTTGCACCCAAACCCACTGACTCGGTGAGCACATCTACGACCTCAACCCACATACATAGAGAAAATCTGACTTCCATAATGTTCTGCTATCTTGAAATGGAGTGAAACACCAGATTTTGTTTAAATACTGTCACTTTTCAGCTTTAGTCACAATCTCTTGGCTAAATCTTAGAGCTGAAGTGCAGAGGAGGAGCAATGTGCAGAGCTCACTGGAAAAACTCCCAACTCTTTGACTTCTTTCGCGGAGATCCATCCTTCATGTGTGACATCCCTCTTGGCAGCTTTCTTTAATTTTGCAGATGACTTATGCTGTTTCTGCTGTAAGGGCTATTCATCAAACTGTACAATGCAATGGGGATAATGTGTATTCAATACTGAGAGTGCAGTGTAGTGTGGCGGAGAACTCTACATATAAGTCACTATTTTCCACCCCTCCCTGTGATTTCTGATTACAGATGGGAGTGCTGTGTTCCGAGGATGCTTTAAAAGGCCCGATAATATCTCCCTTGCCCTGCTGACAGGCAACGTCTTGTTGAACATGTCTGTGGATAAGTGTGTGGATTTCTGCACTGAGAAGGTAACCAGGACAACGTTAACTGACTTAGATATCTGTTACAAAAGATAAACCCCAAATGGCAGCAATTTTTCAGTTATAATAATACTGTCAGTGTTCACAGCCATTGCAACTGTTAAACTGACAGCAACCTCTGGAATCCACACGTTTGTAGTTAAATGTAGAAATCCAGTTGTTGTTGCCAGTTGTTGCCTGCTGCATTCCCAGCATGCCTCATTGTTGTGTCATGGAAGGTAATCAATGAGAAATCACTGAACCGATGAAAATTTCACCTTTTGCACTGTCATAACTGTGAAAACTGCCCGTAAGGTACACGTTGTTAAATTGTAACTCAGAATATAACAGTGTACCAAGTCATAACCATTGCTGAACCAACTCTTTGTCTCTGGAAGTCTAATTTTGTATTTGTTGTAATTATATGTATTTTTCGATGAGGAGAAAAGTCAATAGTTTTTTTCTCATTATTTAGTTATTCATCAAAAGATTTATGATATTTCAAATTCTGATGTGTATGTCTGAATTTTTTTGTAAAATGTATAAAAAGTGAAGGTAATTGGTGCATTTCACTTTCTGGCTTGCTGTTTGTGAGGATTTCTCAATATAATTGGCTGGTCATCCTGCCCAAAGGCATCACTGCTGCTGGGCAACTGGAGATAGTCTTAACTTGTTCCAATTAACATTGGGGGAGACCACACCACACTGGTCCCCATCTCTTTGTGGGCAGTTTTCTTTGAGGGCCAGTATAAATGGGTGTGGATTGGTATCCCACACCAATCTATATTGGCGTCGCGAACTTTGGATTTATTGGGAGTAATGTTGATGTTGTGCGATAGTGTAAAATGTGCAGTAAGAGTCTGCAGTCTGTTTGACTTCTCTATCAAAATTAATGGCGCATAAAATCCAACAAGCAGAAACCATTCACGAACAAAAACAGAAGTTGCTGGAAAAGCTCAGCAGGCCTGGTAGCATCTGTGAAGAAAAATCGGAGTTAACGTTCTGAGAACAGTTCTGAGGAAGGATCACCGGACCCGAAACGTTAACTCTGCTACCAGACCTGCTGAGCTTTTCCAGCAACTTCTGTTTTTGTTCGTGATTTACAACATCCACAGTTCTTTTGGTTTTCACTTAAGCAGAAACCACTCCATTCTCTTTCGTGGGACAGGCTAAGATTGGGGCTTCACCATCTACAGTGAAGAAGGGTCAATTGATAACAGTGTAGAATGTTTTAGCAAGACATCAGAGGGCGGAGGGTACCATGTTGAACTGTATCCCAGGGAGTCAGTCCCTCAGAAAAGACCTCGGTCTCATGTTTCATTTGAAAGTCAGCACTTCCAGTAGTGCAGCACTCTTTCTATATTGCACTCTAAGTGTCAGTCTTGAATTTGTGCTTAAGTCTCCAGAACAAATCTGAACCAACGTCTTAATCTCTCAGGAGGCAGAACTTCCATCAGCTCTTCGCTAAATTTGAATTCTGTTCTGCGACTGATCTATAAATAAAACCCCAAAGCTGGCATTCAGGTGAGCACACTCAGGTTATTGCCCAGTAACCATCAGTGGCATAGGTCACAATGTGTCAAAGGATAATGTAGAAGTTTGAGCGAGATTTAATATGTGGCAGTGAAGTGTATAGGAGTGCTTTTAGAAATTACACAAATTTGAACACATAGTTTGAGCCAATCACTATAAGTGGATGGTGATAAAGTGCTTTTTGATTGACTCGAGAAGCCAATCAATTTAAGTGGACCATGCTACAGTGTTTTTGATTAACTAACCGCATTTGAAAACATGACAGATTATTTTAGTGCTGAGGGATCATTTAATGTGTGGCTCTTGTTATAGGCCAGCCTTGAGTGCATATTATAGGTCATTTAAACTCTTCAGTTCAAGTTCCGCCATCATTTTGAAACAAGTGACAGTAATTCATAAGTTGAATCTCATTACTTGGTGTAATGTTGAGGGAAAAGAATCAATTTGGTGTCTTCACTCCATAAATTCAGGGAGATTTACATGGTGCGCTGTCTCTAAAGAAAGAATGGATTGAGAGACATGTTACAAAGTCAGGTCAATGTTTACCTTAAATATAGCTGCTTATTGTGAACCTTATTGTGGCCTTATTCCATTCCTAAAAGTAACTGGCCACTTCATTCCAAATCTATTGGATTCATCTTCACTTTGTTACATTTCAATGGCTGATCTGCTTCAGTTATTCAAATTATTCAAACTGTGCTTTAGCTTAGCTAATGTTGAGTCAATGTTGGAACCTCAGTTTACAAATCTTGCCTTCATTTTGAAATCCTTCTATGGCCTTACCCTCCCTTTCTCTGTAAGCTCTTCCAGCTGCACAATTCCCAAGAAACCTGCACCCTTCCATTCCATGACTCTTTCACCTCTCATTTTCATTGCTTCACCATTGGCAACAGAACCTTTAGCTATCAAAATCGAAGATCTGAAATTCCCTTTCTAAACTTTTCCATCTTTCTGTTTCTCCTCCATCAAGATTTTCTATAAAACCTACTTATTGTGAGGTTCTGATGGTGGCGCGGTGGCTCAGTGGTTAGCACCTCTGCCTCACAGCACCCGGGACCCGGGTTCGATCCCACCCGCGGGTGACTGTCTGTGTGGAGTTTGCTTGTTCTCCCCATGTCTGCGTGGGTTTCCTCTGGGTGCTCCAGTTTCTTCCCACAGTCCAAAGATATGCAGGTTAGGTGCATTGACCATGCTAAATTGCTCCATGGTGTCCAGGCATGCACAAGCTAGGTGGATTAGTCATGGTTACAGAGATGGACTGGGTCTGTGTGGGATGCTTTTCGGAAGGTCAGTGCAGACTCAATGGGCTGAATGGCCTCTTTCAGCACTGTAGAGATTCTGTGATTTGTTTCTATGTGCCGACATAGTGGTAATGTCACTGAACACTAGATATCCACAGCCCAAGATAAACGTTCTGGGGGACATGGGTTTGAATCCTACCATGGCAAGTGGTGACATTTGAATTTAATTTTTAAAAAAGCTGGTCTAATGATGATCATGCACCTAAAGTTGTAAAACATCCTTTGATTCACCAACATCTTTTAGGGAAGGCAATCTGCCATCCTTACCTGGATAGGTTGACTCTTAACTGCCCTGTGGGCAATTAGAGACTAGCATTAAATGTTGGCCCAGCCAGAGACACCCACATCCACTGGCCCATAAGAAATCATTTACCTTACTCCTTATGAAACTCAGTGTTAACATTTGTTTAGCAATTAGACCCATGAAGCATCTTTGACCATTTCACTATGTTAAAGACACCACATCAAGACAAGTTCTTGACGCACTTTTGGATGAAGTTTGAAGATCATTTAGTTTCTTTTGTTTCAGTAACATGAAGTTGGTAAGGTTGCCAAACATGATTAAATCTACTCTTGGGTATTTCAGATTTGCCCCCCTTATTTCAACCATTAATTAGCCAACACATGTATCCTTCTGATGCAATGCCTTCCAATGCCAATTAGAATGCAAAAAGACCCAATCCCCATTTAATTATGCTTGACTGCCCACCAATCAGTCTTTATTCTCTTTGTTTTTAATATTTACATATTTGAGAGGCATTCAAAGAAAATGGCTTAAAAAAAACTGTTGCACCCAGCATTGATCTTCAGCTGCTGGAGATTTCTGGAGAGTTGGCAACTCTAAGGGAAAACAATATTTTTGACTTTAGAAAGTAGTGCAAAATGATCCTAAATGAAAATATAAATGAGGAACGAATCTGGATCGGCGCAGGCTTGGAGGGCCGAAGGGCCTGTTCCTGTGCTGTTATTTTCTTTGTTCTTTGTTCTTAATGGATGGCTAACTCAGTATCACAAGTTTTACGCGATTGTCCTGAATTAGGATGACATGGGCCCGTTATTACCTGGTGACTGCCTGCTTTTCGTAGACTTGCCCAGGAATGTAACAACTTCCACAGACAGCTCCCTCTATTGGACATCCATGCAATGACGTGATAGAATCCAAGATTGTATTTACGGTTTTGCTGTGATTGTAATCATCTGGGGAATTGGTTAGCTCAGTTGGTTGGATAGTCACCTTGCAATGCAGTGTGATGCCAACAGCATGGGTTCAATTCACACACTGGCTGAGGTTACCATGGCTTCTCAACAACCTCTTCTCTTGCTTGAGGTATTGTGGCCCTCAAGTCAAACCTCCATTAGCCATCTCTTTCTCTAATGTTGGAGCAGGACTATGTTAACTTTACCTGCTACCTTCTGGTATAAATCATGGCACAGATACATGATCAGATTCTGGTGCAAAGGCCAGTGAGGCTTCCACTGATGAGAAATGCAGTTTAATATCAATGCAGTGTAATGCAATATAAGCGGGAAGCTGATGGTGCTGAATCAGTTTTTTCTCCCCTTCACAAATTACCTCTAAAATGAGAAAAACATTTTTTTACTATTCTAACTTGCACTGAAAGGTGCAGTCCGTTCAGTGGAGCATTTAAGCTTCGAAATAAATGCTTCAGTTCTTTCCTGACTTGTAAAGTCAACAAATTCAGAGGAGTAACTTATTGGACTGAAACGAGGAGTTTCTAAGTGTAACAGCTGGATGACAGCCTGTAGGATATCAAGGATACCAATTAAGAATTGAAGAGCAGAGATGAAAGGATGAACACACCAATGTTACCTGCGAGATAGAAAATTGCTTCATTTCTCACCCTTGTGGCTAGAATGTGATTGCTTCTGAATCAGCAGGAGCAAGAATTTGTTGACACTTGTCCATTAAGTTTTATCGGGCCATCCATACAAAGCAAATTTACTGGACTTACCCTGGGGGGTGAGGAGCTTCAGTTATATGCAGAGAGACTAAAGAAACTGAGATTGTTCTGTTTAGAACATGGAAGGGTGAAAGGGAGATTTAATAGCAGTATTGAACAGTGTGAACGATTTCAACAAGAATAAGGAAGGAGAACATTTTTCCACCGGTGAGTGTTTCAGTAATCACAGGGCACAGATTTCAGGTAAAAATCAGAGGAATGATTCTTATTGTAAGTCAGCATTACTCAGTTAAGAGCTAGAACAGCTCAAGAAGTCATTTCAAGATGATTCAATAGTCTTTTGCAAAAGGAAATTGCATGTACATCCATGGAAAAGAAACATTTGCAGAGCTACGAAGATAGAGCAAAGACACTGGAACTAATTAGATGCCTCTTTCTAAGAGCCAGCACAGGTTTGATGTACTGAATGGCCTCTTTCTGTGCTGTGGGATTCTATAGGGAGATGTCTTCTGCTCAAAGCCCAATCAAGTGGCTAATAAAGGGCTTTCACTGACATTTAACCAGCAGTGGGGGAAGGGAGGGGCCCTCTACCACATGGGAATGAGGAAGACTATGGGGTGGAGACTGGAGAGCGAATCCTGCCAGTCTCCTGCAGACTCTGAGTCAGAGATTTGCCCTTGTTTTCAGGTACATTTTGACAAAATAGAAGGGGTTCTGCAGCAATAACACTACCTCCACACAGCACCACATTCACTGGGAGCTGCCCAACTTTCTGCCCTTCATAACCTCTCTGCTTTCCCTGTCCGAATTTAATGGATTACAGCACATTCACTATCAGAACCTATTAAAGAAAAGCAATGGTTCTCATTTACCAAACCATTCACTGGGTTATTATTCTGTTATATCTCCGTAATGTCAGTTTACTGCGCACTGTCAATATATTGGCAAACCAAGCAACTATTCCGTGCCAGCTATCAATCCCTTTCTTCTATAATCTTAGCATTGTAGTTTCTTCTATTCATTCGTGGGATGTGGCTGGGCCCAGCATTTATTGCTCGTTTCTAGTTGCCCTTGAGAATGTGGTGGTGAGCTTCTTTCTTGAATCGCTGCAGTCCATGAACTGTAGGTAGACCCACAATACCCTTAGGGAGAGAATTCTGACATTTTGGCCCAGCCACAGTGAAAGAACGACGATATATTTCCAAGTCAGGGTAGTAGGTGACTTGGAGGTGAAATTGCAGGTGGATAGTGTTCCCATGTATCTGCTGCCCTTATCCTTCTATATGGAAGTGGTTGTGGATTTGGAAGTTGCTGTCTGAGGATCTTTGGTGAATTTCTGCAGTGCATCTTGTAGATGGTACACACTGCAGCTACTGAGTGTCGGTGGTGGAGGGAGTGGATGTTGTGCCAATCAACCAGGCTGCTTTGTCCTGGATGGTGTCAAGCGTCTTGAGTGTTTTTGAAGCTGTACACGTTCAGGCAAGTGGGGAGTATTTCTGACTTGGGTGTTATAGATGATGGACAGTCCACTGTGTCAATGTGGCAAGTCCATCAGAGTTGCTGGTCAGTGATAACATCCAGAATGTTGGTAGTGCAAGATTCAGTGATGGTAACACCATTGAATGTCAAGGGGCGGTGGTTAGATTGTCTCTTATTGGAGATGGTCATAGCCTTGCCACCTGTCAGCCTAAGCCTGGATATTTTCCAGATCTTGCTAAATTTGAATATGGATTGCTTCCGTATCTGAGGAGTCGTAAATGGTGCTGAATGTTGTGCAATCATAGGCAAACACCCCCACTTCTGACCTTATGACGGAGAGGAGGTCATTGATGAAGATGGTTGGGCTAAGGACACTTGCCTGAGGAAATCCTGCAGAGATGTAATTGTGGGACTGTCTGCAGCATTTGACATGACACTAATATAAGTGTGTCTGTCACCATGGTTATCCCAGGCTGGTAACAACTGCAAGTTTATGGATAAAACTCTTGTCAATGATGAACTGAGTATGACTCAATGATAAGAAGGAAGTTGCGATTAAATAGCATCTGACATGACCTCAGGACTTCCCAAAGCACTTTGCAGAAAATAAATAACCTTTGAGATGTAATCACTGATGCACAGTAGGAAACAGCAGCCAGTTTGCACACACTAAGAGCCCACAGGCAGCAATGCGCTGAATCACCTGATAATCTAGATTTAGTGTTGGGTGGGGACAAATGTTGACTCTTGTTCGAATGCCAAGGTGCATTTTATATCCGTGGCGTGGGGCAAGAGGCCTGTCTGGGATTTACAGAGACAGCACCTCCGAAAGTACAGGACTTCTTCAGAGTGGGGCTTGTACCTCCAAATTTCTGACTCAGAGATGAACTTGTTACTTTGAAGGGGACAATTGAAATTCAAAATTGAAAATGATTATTCACATGTAAAGAAGACAATTTCTACAAGAGTTTTAAATGTTGCCTGAATTACAAGCTATCTGCCTTTCTGGTTGGTGATTCTGGGTCCAGTCTCTGCTGTAAAATTCAAGTGAGCATTTTTTTTTAATGACAGTTTCTTCTCAATCTAAAACCCCGGTGATTTTGCTTTTGTACAGGAATACACTCTGGCTGTGTTGGCAGGAGCAACATGTCGCTGTGGATTTCCCACCATGCACTTCACACTCCACGAGCCAGAGGATGAACAACTGTGTGCGCAGAAATGTGCTGGGGAGGAGTACGAAAACTGTGGGAATGACGATTACTTTGTCGTTTATCAAACGCAAGTGCAAGGTATCTTTCACAACATCGCATTTGCTGCTTTCTAAACTGTCTTTTTCTCGAAAATATGTAGCCATGAAAATGATACAGTACAGAAGACACCCAGATGCCCTTTCTAATTCCAGCTTCTCTGCAGCTTACAGCACTTGAGGTGCAGATCCAGGTACTTTTTAAAAGAGATTAGGGTCTCTGCCTCCACCACTAACTCAGGCAGTGAATTCCAGACACCCATCACCCTCTGCAATATATGAAGAAGCATTAAAAGACCTTCATTGATATAGCAATTTTCACAATGTAACGGTGACCCCATGAAATATAGTAATGTAAGAAATGCAGCATCTGGTTTCAGCACAGTAAGCTCCCACAACAGCCACGTGATAATCAGTGGATAATCTGTTTTAGTGACGGTGGTATAGAAACATAGAATCATACAGCAAAGAGGAGGCCCTTCATCCCATCTAGTCTGTGCCACCAAAAATACACTACTACTATACTAGTCCCATGTTCCTACATTAGGCCCATAGCCTTGCAGGATAACCATTGAGGGTTGAGAGATAACTATTGAGGCTTGCAGGACAACAATGAGATTGTCCCTGTACTTCTTTGAGTGGTGTCATCAGATTTTTTAACCTTATCTGAGAGAGCATCACAAAGCCTCAATTTAAGGTCTCAGCCCTCAGCCAATCCAGTGTCTCCAACAGTGCAGTTCTCCCTCAGTCCTGTGCTGGAATGTCAGATGAGTTTGTGGCCACTCCAATGAGTGGTAACGACTTTAGCCAAAGGGCAGAGCTTTGCATTTATGACAGGAGTTTCTGATCAGGGCTCCTTCAGAAGTGCAGAGCTGTGCTTCCATTCTGACAGTTCTTTCAGAGCACATAACTATCATACAATCCCGAGAGTGTGGAAAAAGGCAATTTGGTCCATTGATTCTGCACTTTTAAAAAGCATCCCACCCAAAACCCAGCAACCCCTCCCTCCATCCCCATAACCTGGCATGTCCCACAGCTAATCCTCCCTGGAGACTACAGACAATTTTGCATGGCCAATCTACCCTAACTCACACATCTTTGGACTGTGGGAGGAAACTGGAGCACCCAGAGGAAACCCAGCAAGACACGGGGAAACTGTGCAAACTTCACACAGACATAAAAACAGAAGTTGCTGGAAAAGCTCAGCAGGTCTGGCAGCATCTGTGAAGCAAAAATCACAGATAGTGTTTTGGGTCTGGTGACCCTTCCTCAGAACAGTTCTGAGGAAGGGTCACCAGACCTGAAACGTTAACTCTGATTTTTTTCTTCACAGATGCTGCCAGACCCGCTGAGCTTTTCCAGCAACTTCTGTTTTTGTTTCTGATTTAGAGCATCCGCAGTTTTCTTTCGGTTTTTATCTCCACACAGACAGTCGCCCGAGGCTGAAATTGAACCTGGTGCTGTGAGGCAGTAGTGCTAACCACTGAGCCACTTTGCTGACCCCTTTGGAGGAAGCAGGATATGCCCCCTTTTTCACAGCAAACAGCTGCTGTATTCTGAGTTGTCTCTACACGAGGGGATAAATATAATGTCCAAACCAAGAACTTCCCACTGGCTGGAGGAACCCGCTTCACTTCTGTTCTGTTCTGCCCGACCAAATCAAATGCCAGCCAGTCGCTTAACAGTCACACTGGTGGGAATGGAATGCCCAACTTCCCCACTCCCACCTCCAACCAACACCTCCATGGCAAAGTGGGCTCAGCCACCACTGAGCCCAATCCAACAGGCTCTGTTGAATTCCAGTCAAGGTGTAAAACGGATGTGAAGGGTCAGAGGTGAGAGTTCTTTCAGTGACTACGGTGGCTCATGGCTCAGTGGTTAACACTGCTGCCTCTCAACACCAGGGACCCAGATCTGATTCCATGCAACCGTCTGTGTGGAATTTGTACATTCTCCCCATGCCTGCATGGGTTTTCTCCAGGTGCTCCGGTTTCCTCCCATGGTCTAAAACTGTGCTGGTTGGTTGGCTTGGCCGTGCTAAATTGCCCATGATGTCCAGGGATGTGCAGGCTAGGTGGGTTAGCCATGGGGAAAGCAGGGATACAGGGTCGTGGGTCTGGGTGGAATGCTGTTTGGAGGATCGGTGTGGACTTGATGGGCTGAATGGCCTGCTTCCACACTGTAAGGATTCTATCCTTCCATGACTGGGTATAATGGCATTGACGATATTCTCCTCCAGTGAAGACAGGGAACCTTTACAGATGCATTTACAATGTCACTTGGCAACCAGAAGAACCCTTGCTCAAGGTAATGCAGTGAATTAATTATTCGCTCATTGGTTTCTGAGACCATAGCAACAGTGCAAGGTTGATCCCTTGCTCTTTGTATGTTACTGGGACTGATTACAATCCCTAATGTGCATACAGTTTGCTGTTCTCTGCAATCTCAGGATTGTGCAGTTAGCCTCAGTATGAGAGTGATCAAACCATTGGCTGGGCTCCCTACTCCTCATCATCGTCCAGTGATCAGTGGTGCAGGGCGAGTCAGTGTTGGGTACGTTCGATTGTGCCTCTCCATGACTGAATGCCCTGTTAATGTTGACAAATTGGCAATTAGGTGAGATCCTAGCCACAGATCATGAACGAGGGGAGTAGAACAGGGGAAAAGAGATGAAAGAACAATTAAGTGAGGCGGAGGAGGAATAAATCAACCTTTTATTTTCTGGCTGAAAGTGCAGAGGGAGAGAGATTGTAGGATTTCCAAGAAATTTGACCCAGACTATCCCACGATTATGTGACCCTATTTACTTTTTTGAAATTTTTTTCATGGGATGTAGGTGTTTCTGCTCAGCATTTGTTGCCCAACCCTAATGACCTTGGAGAAGGTCTGGGGGAGCTGTCTTGTGAAACTGCAGTAGTCCTCTGGGTACAGGGACACCCACAATGTTGTGAGGGAGGGAGAGATCGAGGATTTTGATCCAGCAACACTGAAGGACTGGTGATATGTTTCCAAGACAGGATGATCAGTGGTTGTGTTTGCAAATTAAACTTTTATGATTCACGCACAAGGACATTCAGATCCCTAAACTTTTCTTAATTTATTCACTCATGGGAAATTGTTGGCTGGGCCAGCATTTATTACCCATCCCTAGTTGCCCTTGAAAAGGTGGTGATTCTTGAACTGCTGCAGTCTTTATGCTGTGGATTGACCCACAATGCCATTAGAGAGGGAATTCCAGGATTTTGACCCAACAACAGTGAAGGAACTACAGTATATTTCCATGTCAAAATGGTGAGTGGCTTGGAGGGGAACTCGCAGGTGGTACTGTTCCCATGTTTTTGCTGTCCTGGTCCTTCTAGATGAAAGTGGTGCGTGTTTGGAAGTTACGAATTTCCTACAATGTATCTTGTGGATGGTACACAGTGCTGCTACTGTGTGTTCTTGGTGAAGGGAGTGAATATTGAAGGTGGATGAGGTACAAATCAAGTGGGCTGCTTTTTCTTGGATGGTGTCCAGCTTCTTGAGTGTTGTCGGAACTGCACCCATCCAGGCACATGGCGAGTATCTTATCACACTCTTGATAACTTGCTTTTTTAAAAAATTCATTCATGGGATGAGGGCATCACTGGCTAGGCCAGCATTTATTGCCCAAGAGTCAACCACATTACTGTGAGCCTGAAGTCACATGTAAGCTAAGTAAGGATAGCAGTTTCCTTCCCTAAAGGGCTTTGGGAACGAGTTTTTCCCCTGATAATTGTGATCATCGTTAGACTCTTAATTCCAGATTTTTATGGAATTTGAATTCATGGTGGGATTTGAATCCAGGTCTTCAGAACATTGCATTGGTCTCTGGATTAACAGTCTAGTGATAATACCATGAGACCATTGTTGTTGCTGTCTAGATATTGATTTGAATTAATTTATTACTGTTATGTGTACCAAGGTACAGTGAGAAGTGTTGTTGTTTTATGTGCTTTACAGCCAAATCATACTATACAAGCGCATCAGGGTAACAGATCAGAGTGCAGGATACAGTGTTACAGCTGCCAAGAAGGTGCAGAGAGAGATCAGCATTAACATTAAAGAAGTCAGTTTCGAAGTCTGATAACAGTGGGAAAGAATCAGTGGGCCAGTTTCAATGATTAGCCTTTCATTTGAAAGGCATTCCATTTAACTGGTTGCACAATGTGAATGACCAAATTATGTGCAATAGTCTGACAAAGCCATAGTTATAAAATAAAAACCGTTCTGAGGAAGGGTCACCGGACCCGAAACGTTAACTCTGTTTTTTCCTTCACAGATGCTGCCAGACCTGCTGAGATTTTCCACCAACTTTGTTTTTTTCCCATAGTTATAAAATGTATGATATTGAAAGCTGACCTTTCATAGAGAGACATTTAGAGTCCAAAAACCAACAAGTTTTGCTAAACCTACCTATAAAACAGCTTAACCCATTGTGATGATGGCTTACCCTCCTAGGAACCTGAAATAAGTGAAAAGGAGAGTTAAACATTGGGGTTCTGCTAACAGTGGGCTTGGCACTGGTGCATTGGAAAACAATAAGGAGCTGGAATCAGGAGAAACACCAGGACTCTTCATTTCTCTCCCTGGCCCTGCGGGAATTTGATTTGGGAACATAGGAAAATCGGGACTTAAATCTGAACAAAACTAAACCGTGTGGGTATGAGGTGCAGGATGATTGATTGGGAAACACAAAGATATGGCAGTAAGTAGCAATCAAACATTTAAAGAATGAATTTATGATTTTGCAATAAATTTGTAATTTGTAGCATTTGCTTAAAGAACTGTAAAACAGGTAAAGTTCAACTGTGGATATTGAAAGAATTTAAAGTTGGTATTAGATAAAAGGAAGAGGTTTATAGCATTGTCAAAAAGAGGAGTAAACTCGCAGATTGAGCGGGGTTTAAAAGATCAGTAAAAGATCATGTAGAAATTGATACAGGGAAAATTGGAGATGACAGTAAGCTCTCCAGCATCATTAAAGGAGAGCAGACTGAACTGGTGCAGCTTTGGGTTCAGAAGAATAAAGTGATTTTACTGAAACCTGTAACATCTTTAAGGGGGCTTGAGAGGATGGATATTATGAGTCTAGAACGTAGGGTCACAGTCTCGGAGTATGGAGTCAGGCATTCAGGACCAAGATGAGAAAAAGCATCTTCACTCCAGAGGCTGCGAACCCTCAGAACTCTCTACCACAGCAAACCTATTCAGTATTGGAGGCGTGAGGAAAATGGGGACAGTGCAGGATGGTGGAGTTGATGTCCAGGAGCTGTCATGACTTTATTCCGTGACTTGATTCAGGGGCACTGAAGGAAGCAATGATATATTTCCACATCAGGATAGCGTGCGGCTGGTGGACGTTGGGGCTGGCAGGGCCGTAATGTTCCCGCATAGTGACTGCCCTTTTCCTTACAGGTGGCAGAGGTCCCAGGTTTGACAGGTACTGTAGAGGAATCTTGGTGACATGTTACAGATGGCGAACACAATTAATGTGGAATCGTTCTTTCCAGATAACCGCTGCATGGACAGACGTTTCCTGCCTGCCCGCTCCAAGCGCCTGGTGGCTTTGGCCAGTTTTCCAGGAGCAGGGAACACATGGGGCCGTCACCTCATGGAGCTCACCACTGGCTATTACACCGGCAGCTACTACTTTGACGGCTCACTCTACAACAAAGGTAGGATCCCCAGTAAAGGCAAATAGCCTCAGGGACGTCTTTTCTGAGATGGAAATGGACATTGTGTGCTCAAACCTTTTAAAGGTCTAAAATTGTCTTGTGGACATGTCTTGTATAAGTAATTTGGAAGTTGACACAATGTATTTTCATGATCTCTGTTGACTGCAGTGGAAGGTAAGTAAAAGGGAGGGCACTTAAAATTAAGATAGCCACCCTTCAACCCTTTTAAATGTTGACTATAAATGGTAAAATCACCATAGTTCCACTATCTCATTAGAAAGAGCCAACTGGAGGTGAGTTTAAGTTGAGGGTCACTGTAGCTCAGGTGTGGAGTGAGGTTGAGAAGGTGGGGACTTCATGGTAGCCTCAGCTAGTACAGGAATTGAACGCACACTGTTGGCATCACAAACCAGCCAGTCAGCTAACTGAGCGAACTGACCTCCCCCTTTAAATGGCTCCACCGGTGAAATGTGAACATTTCAGACTGTTGCAGTACCCAAGCAAGGGCCTCAAGGTCTACCTGGTTATGACAAGTGACCACCCATGTTCAGCGAGTCAAAGAGAGATCAATACTTGAATATTTGGCTCAACCCATTGTAGTGAGTGAGCAAGTTCAGACACAGGTCTGATCTTAGAGTAGGATAATAGGTCAGCACAACATCGTGGGCCGAAGGGCCTGTACTGTTCTATGTTCTATGTTCTCCTGTAAATTCAAATGTCGATGTAAAATGCAGCCTGCCTTCTTGAAATAAAAAAAAACAAAGTAATAGTCAATGATGTGTGTTGGGCCCAACCTTGGAAAAGTTCAAAGACAGCTGTATGGGTCTCTGGGAGTGACTAACAACTCGACATTTAGAGGTTATATTGTCCAGTCACAGATTAAATTTCTCGTTATATATTAACAATGGTCATGAACCTACTGGATCTTTGTGAAAATCCATCTGGTTCAGTATGAAACTCCAGGGAAGGGAATCTGCCCTGCTTACTTAGTTCAGATTCCACGTGGTTCCCAATCTGCAGCAATGTGGTTGACTTCTTGCTTCCCAGGATGTTTTGCAGCAATGGGAGCTCAATTGTACCAAACTGCTACAGGACAAGGACAGTGAGTGTACCAATATCATATGGACTGCAGAGGTTCAATGTGTCTCACCTCTATCTTCTCCAGGGTAGTTAGAAATGGGCAATAATGCCAGCGATGCCCACATCCAGTGAAAGAATAAACCCCAGGTTTTCATCAGCTGTTCTTGTACCTTGACATGTGAGCAAGTTGTTGGGTGATTTGTGTGAATCACTTGAAGATTTTAAACAACATTAGACTTGCTATACAAATGCAAGTTGTTGTTGTATATTCACTGACTGTACTGTTGTAATGAGGCCATTCTTATGACAGTTGGCGCTAGTTTCGTGTGTTTGCTATCAACCAGGCTCGCGCTCCACAGAGTTATTGCATTCAGCAGCCCCCCAGGAACCAGAGAAGTAGCATTTTCTTCCCTTAATACTCGCATTTTTATTCTTGGAGCAAAATACGCACAGCGTTCGAATTCACAGCTCTGTCCTACATCACCTGCTCCCTTGGCCCATGGTTTGCCTTTTTCAGCCCCTCACACATTCGGATTATCATTACCTAATTAAATTGGGCAAGGTCCATTTTGTTCCTTCTCAGATATTTTCCAATGTTTGGCAATAAAGCAGAAAAGGGCTCTTGCCAGAGATGTTAATACAGTTAGCCACTGACAGAATTCAATACAGCAATATAGAATCAAATCACAATGCACTCAGGCGTGCTGAAGGTGCCTTCAAGTGAACATAAGTGCAAGGTTCCACTTCACCTGCAACTGAGTGCAACAGAGTTACAGCAAAATGACTGTGAAAATTTCAGCAATAGTTCTCCGTTCTTTAGCCCTTACAGAAGAGCAAAGTGTGCCTCAGAGACCAATAGAAGCTAACCTACTGGCATAAAGAGACTTGCTTTACCATGCCCGACTTGGTGAAAATGCTGTTTGCTCAAGGACACTCTGACCTGAACAGGAAACTGTATTTGCAATCAATTTGGTATTCCCTCTTGTCCTTTGTCGCCAAATATGTTGCAATAGAACGAAAATCAACATCAGTCTGACACTCTATTTGAACAAAACATTATTTGCCTGACATGTCACTTGAACCACACAGTAAACTTCCATTCACACTTTGAAGTGTTAGTATCTCTCAGACGGTCGCTACCGTTTGTTAGTCAGTGGCTTGGTTTCAGCTAATTCCCACGTTAGCTTTCTGTGCATTTTGCTTTGCCCCATGGCACTGCCAGTTTTACTATAGTGTAATATTAGCTTGTGTGAAACATAAAACACATTCACAGTTTGCCTGGCAGGCTTCTTAACCCGTAGCTACAAACTGCAGGGACAAGTAGAGAATTCAGAATCCCTACAATGTGGAAGCAGGCCTTTTGACCCATCGAGTCCACTCCGACCCTCCGACGAGCATCCCACCCTAAATTTCCACCTAACTTGCACATCTCTGGACTGTGGGAGGAAACCAGAGCATCTGGAGGAAACCCATGTAGACAAGGGAGAATGTGCAAACTCCACACAGACAGCCACCCAAGGGTAGGATTGAACCTGGGTCCCTGGCACTGTAAGCCACTGTGCTGCCCTTAAAGAGTAGCTGTTTCGAAGAATTGGCTCAGGCACTATGGGCTAAATGGCCTCCTCCTGTGCTGTATGACTGTGAAATTCTACAGGGCTCCTGTCATGGTTCGGAGCTTGACAATCACAGTGCCATCCCATTATTGTCCAGTAATATTCAATAGGGATGCTGAAGACCAAATGAGATTGGGAACATGCTGATGGTTTTATGATAATGAAGGGATGATTGAGTGAGCAATTGACTTGGTCTGTGTTGAGGAGGGGCAGGAGAATCTTGTGGTGCCATGGCATAGTCCCTACCTCTGGACCTGGAGGCCTGGGCTTAATTCCCAGCTGTCCCAGATATGTCTTTTCACAGTTTCATTGCAAATATTGGGACAAATACATAACAGGGAGAAAATAATCATTGTGTTTGGAGTTTTTGAAGTAAAATTTTGATCAGAAAGGTATATCTCTGGACTATGTCCACTCCACTCAAGTGTACACCTAATTATCCCAGAATCAATGTACAAACAGAGAGCCAATGGTCTAGTGGTATTATCTGGACTATTAATCTAGACTATTAGCTAGACAATCAATAAAAACTGTTGGCTAGACTATTAATCCAGAGACCCAGGTAACATTATGGGGATCCAGGTTCAAATCCTGCCATGGCAGATGGTAGAAATTAAATTCAATAAAATTCTGGAATTAAGAGTCTAATTATCACACATGTCTTCATTGGACAGGGCATTGTGTATCAGAGTTTTGATGTCATGTTGCAGCTGTACAGGACATTAGTGAGGCCACTTTTGGAATACTGCATGCAGTTCTGGTTGCCCTGCTACAGGAAAGATGTTGTTAAATTGGAAAGATTTACAAGGATGTTACTGGGATTGGAGGGTTTGAGTTATAAGGAAAAGCTGGGATTTTTTTCACTGGAGCGTGGGAGGTTGAGGGGTGACCTTACAGAGGTTTATAAAATCATGAGGGGCATAGATAAGGTGAACAGCAAAGGTCTTTTCCCCAGCATGGGGGAGTTCAGAACTGGAGGGCTTAGGTTTAAGGTGAGAGGGGAAAGATTTAAAAGGGACCTGAAGAGCAACTTTTTCACACAGTGGGTGGTGCTTAAATGGAATGAACAGCCAAAGGAGGTGGTAGATGCAGGTATGGTTACAACATCTAAAAGATATTTGAACAAGTACATCAGTAGGAAAGGATATGGGCTAAATGCAAGCAAATGGGGCTAGCTTTGATTGGGAAACCTGACCGGCATGAACAAGTTGGACCAAAGAGTTTGTTTCTGTGGTGTATGACTTAATGGTGACCATGAATCCACTGGGAAAATCCCATCTGGTTGACTGATATCCCTTTCGGATCCACATGTGGCTCCAAACCTTTAATAATGTGGTTGACTCTTAACTGCTCCTCTGAGGCAATTAGAGTTGGGCAATAAATGCTGCCCTAGCCAATGCCATCTTCATCCCATGAATGAATAAAAAAATAAAAAAACAAGCTTATTCCATTAGATCTCAGGCATGTCTGACAAATCTTGCTCGACAAAACCAGGATGAACACTGCTGCTCTTAAACACTGTAGTATCGATCTTCTTTACCATCTTCTTCAACATCTGTCTAGTCTTTGGTGTTTAATGCAGGCAATCAAGCGTCCGATGAAGTTTGGCCAATTTTGTAATGCAGCCAGTTTGTGCACAGTTAGATCCCACAATCAGCAGCATGATAGTGAGCAGATAAACTGTCACTCATGGTGTGGCTTAAGAGAAAACTGTGGATTCCCCCTACTGCATCAATCTAAATAATACCATTGGGTCTTTTACTCCACCTGTGAGGTTGGACAGGGCCTCAGTGTCCAGCCTCATTTTGGGGTTAGCACTGCCACCTCACAGCGCAGGGACCCAGGTTCAATTCCAGCCTCAGGTGATGGGTCTGTGTGGAGTTTGCACGTTCTCCTCGTGTTTCCGCTAGTTTCCTTCCATGGTGCAAAGATATGCAGCTAAGATGGATAGGCCATGCTAAGGGCGGTGTTATGGGGGATAGGGTGGGTGGTTGGACCTGGGTGGGATGCTCTTTAGAGGGTTGGTGCAGACTTATTGGGCTGAATGGCCTCTTTCTACACTGTAGGGATTCTATGAAAAGGTGGCAATTCCAACTCTGTTTCACTTCTTCAGTACAGGGACTGGACTGGCAGCTTGAATTTTAAACTCAGTTCTCTGAATAAATGAGACTTGAACTCATATCCTTCTGACAAAGGGGCAATGGCACTAATAAATAAGCAGGGCTGATGATTAGTACCAAACATTAGCTTTTCCATTGATTTGTCAATGAATGCATTTATGTATTTTTGATCCTACAGGAGATTTTT